ATAAAAGCGCTCTTGTACCCCACCCCCTATATCAGCGCTTTTGAAAGCGCTTTCATAAGCCCCCTATAAGAGCGCTTTCAGAAAGCGCTTTCATACCCCCCCACTATAAGAGCGCTTTTCAAATGCGCCTTCGTACCCCAGCCTCTAAGAGCGCTTTCTGAAAGCGCTTTTGTAACCCCCCCCTTTAAGAGCGCTTTTTTAGCGTGTTTTTTTATTTTGTTTTAGCGCAACCTATACCAGCGCTTTTTACAAAAAGCGCTTTAGTAGGGGTGCTGCTAAAAGACAAATTTGGTGTAGTGTCTGGGTCCGATGTAAATTCAAGCAATGTAGTAAATCAAAGACATTTTACATCGGGCAACAGCCCGATGTGAAAAATCCACCTACCACATCGGTTGGATGTGAAATATATATATATATATATATATATATATATATATATATATATATATATATATATATATATATATATATATTATATTTCACATCGATTGCCTAACTGGCTTGATATAATATATGGTTTTTAACATCGGTTACACAATGGCCCGATGTAATAATAGGTTTTAACATCGGTTGCCTCAATGGCCCGATGTAATATGTTTGTTTTTTTTAGCGGAATCGAGGTGGATTCCCTGTAATTTTTTTGGTACCTAATTTTTCATATTTTTCCAACATCATACACCATATTTAGTTCGCTATTTTTCATATTTTTACCACATCACACATACCACATTTAGGTCGCTATTTTCATATTTTTGTAACCAGTGAAAGGTAATTTCATTGCACCAAATAGCTAAGATGCACATATATATTCTTCAAAATGAACAATTGATTTATAAAAGTATTAATCTAGGATACACACAAGTGTACAAATTATAAGAAAGTTTACACACGGTAGACTACTACAACAACAAAACTAATGAAATTATACAAAAGTTAACTAAAGATGAAGTATATCTTGTCATGAAATGGTATCTCAGCAAGTCATGAACAATTAACTAAAGATTATAAGAAACCTATAGTAGATGTATTATGATTAGGATGATCTATAAAACAACAATCATCCACATATGATGATAATTATAAAAAAAAGAAGTCTAGATACATACACATTTAGCATTCTATAGCTTCCCCCTTTCACAAAGGTGACAACAAGATAGTAGTGAAACCATTAAAAGGTGCTCTAACATCCAGATCATCAAAGGTAAGACACTCCCTGCCAGCCTTTACAGTTCTAGTTCTAGCAATTTATGTGAACCTTAAAGTTACCTTTTATCGTAGGCACTTCATAAACACGAATATCATATATCACAACACCCACGACTACAACAATCTTACCCTCCTAATGAAACAGCAACAAAAAAACTCAAAGTTAGAATTATGTATATGTTTAAAAATTATTTCAAAAGTAAGAAATCCTCTTTTGTAAAAAAAAATGCATGTTTGAATTGCTTTCTTCAAACTATTCTAATGACATAAATCTATAAAATTGTTTAAACAATTTATAACAAGTCAACAAATTTTTTACAAATCATTTTCACAAATCTCCATGATAATTTAAAAATCAGCTTATAAGAAAAAATAAATAATAACCCGTAAAGTTGAAAAGTTCAAACAAACAAGAAAATTATTGTGAATAAATGTTAATACCTGCAATATCTAATTGCAATAAAACAAAACAAAAAACTAAGAAAGCTTTATGAAGGGAGATAACATCAAGGATTGTGAATACAGATGTCACAGCATATCAGAGTTGAGATTAAAGATTTGAATTAACCAAATAACACGCAACGACATCAGTGAACAAAAAGTCGACGAGTTCACATGCGTTAGGATGAAAAAGAAACCGTCTCCCCTAGGAGATATTCTGTTTCACACTGTAACTGTTTTATAAACAGTGACCAAGCTTACAAAGCGAGTCAATATGGCCAAAGAAATCTGCTATGGCGCAGAGAGCAACGTCGGCGCAAAGGTCCTTATCACTTTTGGTACTGATGCTTCCGTTGAATTGTATAACTACAAGCAAGTAAAATGCATCGCATGAGATTTCATCGCATTTTCTCCATAAGCGGGACACTTCTCCCTCTATTTTGAAAACAACAAAACTGAATCTGAAAAATTAGTAATTACACTAAGAAAAAAAGGAAAAGATAAGCAAAAACAACAAATGCACCAAGAGAGATAAAGATTAGTGAGATCTAGATATCAGCTTAGCTTGAGTAGTAGAATAAAAATCTCATATTTCAATGTCTGAATCTGGAGAGATTAGTGAGATCTGGACGACAAATTCACTCGAGAGTAGTAAAAAAATTCTCTAGGTGTGAATCTGAAAGAGAGAATGATTAGTGAGATATGGAATACGAATTCACTTGTGAGTAGTAGAACATACTTACTAGTAGAACAAAGAGAAAAAGTACTGATGTGTTTCACAATTGCTTTTGTCCGAGAGTACGATGAGGGAAGGCGGAGGCAGAGCATAGCCGAGTGGGAGACGCGTAATGAAGACGGAGGCGAGCTGGTTTGGTCTTCGAGGCGGCGAGAGATGAAGAAAGGATATGGTAGGTTTTTGTCTTGGAGGCAGAAACAAAAAGAAGTGATATGGTCTAGGTTTTTTTTATTGACTTTTTCAGATCGGTGCATAGTCTAAACCGATGTAAAAACTGTTATAACAAAATTTCATTTTAATTACTAAACTGTCATCGTTTTTTTTTAAATCATTGCAAATACATCTCACATCGGTGGACAGCCTAGACCAATGTAAAAACCGTTATAACAATTTCATTTTAATTACCAAACTGCCACCGTATTTTTTTCACATCACTGCAAATCCAAACCCGATGTCACACATTTTAGGTTTGGAAAAATGGACTAATATCTAAAATAGGTTGAATAAGTTTTTAGAATTAACTCATTTGAATTCAACTTGATTTGTTAAATCATCTAGATTGACGGGTAAATGTGAACGTATCTATGAGATATCAGTTATTGACTGATCATTTTAATGTCTATCTTTTAAATATTTCTCTTGCTGTTGTTTTATATAATTGAAGTTAGATAAACGACGGTACGATTAATTGTAAGTACGAATCAATGATTAAAAATTGGTGTGTATTATTAACATATATTTGTAACTATGTCAATGTTAATCAATTGAAAAATGAATTCAAACTTTATAAATAATGGTTTGATAGACATGTAATATAAATCCAAACGAGACTCGTACGATAGCACGAATTTCTTACTAATTTGAGGATATCTTACTTACAAAAATAAACCGACTTATTTTTTATACTCATCCTCGAACTACAAATAATATATTTTACTGTAATAAAATTATGAATATACTCACTATTTTTGTATATATTTAGATATAATATTTAATTATTAATCCCAATCTAATTATGATTACACTTTTCACATCAACACCAATCAACATCAATTTAATGTCCAATTTGATTTTGATGATGATGATGAACCACACATTTAAAAAATTTAAATGTATGGATTTTTATTTTCAAATAAATTATATGATTAATAAAATAGGATTGTTCATTACATCTTATATATTTATTTGAAAATTTATATATAGATTTTCTCAGTTCTTAGTTCTTTAAGATATGTATATTTCATCAAAATTTTAAGTTTTTGTTTTACTCATCATCTTGTAAGTTTTTTTTTTACTTTAACTTTACTCTCAATATTTTTATTCCACCATCAAATTTGTATATGTCTAGGTCTAAAGACTCTTGATTTTCTTAATGTAACTTTTATTACTTTTATATTCTCTTGTATCATCATCTTGTTCCACATATCATTTGTATTTTCTTATAGATGTTTGAAACTTCCTCCAAAATCTTGTGTTGAAAACTTTTTTATTTTTAACCCTTCACATATCACCACTTGATTTATGAAATTTCCATATGACTTCTTCTATGGACTCTTACATCTATAATAAATATTCTATAACTTTACAATTCAAGCAAATTTTCATATCTAACAAAAAAAAAAATCTAGAATGAATTTACCTTTACCTCCTAGAGACCTTACTCCTCATGCATGCTTGCCCTCAAAACCTGGCGATATGCTTCCTACATGTTTAGTTAAATCCTCTTCTAAAAAAATCTTATTTTTTTAGAGTATAATCTAAAATAAGTCTTCTAAATCCTTAAAAAAAAATACTTTAAAGTATTTTATTACCCCAATCAAAAGTGAGTAAACAAAAGTATCTTATTTTCCTACGAATTTCATAACTATAAATGAATTTTCTACTCTTTTTATATCTATAATTTTTTTTCACTCCTAATTAACAATAATTCTGGTCTCATTTCTCAATCTAATTATGTATCAAAATTTAAATTCTAAGTTGTTTAATTTTTTCGCTTTTTCATCGGTCTATTTAATTTCTTAAAACAAATAATTTTTAAAAATTCATGTTATGTGTGACACTCCCGCCATGGAAGAGGGCCAAAGTTTCAGCTAGAAGAACATTTTCCAAGCAATGTTGCCACAAAATTCCTCTATCCTCTTGCACAAGACCTCCAATGAATTTTAAGTTTCCTACAGAAAAGCACCATCTGCATTCCAGTAGGCGTCATTTTTTTCCAAAATCTCTTCACACATTGCAATACATGAAACATCAGTCCAAATTTTTATGGCTAAGGTTTGAAAGTTATCTAAACCATATTTTTAGGCCTAACTTCTAGATATATATACTAACAGAACTGCGTGATTTAGTGTTTTCAAAAATGATAGTTCTTGAAACTATTAAACTAAAGTATAATATTTAGTACTTCTATTCTTTACTTGTGCAACAAACAATAATTAACAAAATGTTTTCCTCAAGAGAAACTTGAAATATAGCATCATCTCAATTTACAAGGCAGAAAAATGCATCATAACATGGGAACTAAATTTCTAATTATTCTTCATAAAGAAACAACTGAAAAGAAAAGGAAACAATTAAGGAATTTGAAGCACCATTTCCTGAGTCTTCTACCAACATTCTAGAAGCTTCTTCTTCGATAAACACGGTCGCATTCCTTTCTTTTCTTGGGTGAAGATTCCGCAGAAGTTGGTTGAGTTTCAGAGGATCTCTCTTTTCTCTTCTTTGGTGTTAAACTCAGAATAGAATCCAATGGCAATGAAGAATCATTCACTGCTACATCACCACCTAGTTCTTTCTTGTTGAATCTTCCTCCCCTAGAACGAGAACCAGAAGCTTGAGTTTGAGTTTGAGAAGGTCTTTCATTGATGTTAAGTAGATTGGAGAAGGAAGAATCCAATGATTCAAGGTCCTTCGTTGCAACATCAGGAGAGGAACTGATAATCTCTGCTGCGCCGCCATCCTCATCACCATCTTTCTGATGATCAGTAGTGGAAGACTTGTTCATCTTTTCGGCTCTCCAAGAACAAGAAAAATTGAAATCTGAAATTGTCAAGAAACTATGGAATGTGAAGAAAGAGAGATGGATTATGAAGAGGTAGCTAAGAAGAAATTATGTAACTAAACTAGTTATAACTACTTTCTAACTAACTAACTACCATAACTGAAATTATGTCTCTAACAAATTTTGCTAAATGCCAAAAGTAAAAACAATATTATATCTTCAAGGGATCAATCTATTTTAAGTCAGGTCACTTTCCAACTAAATAAAAGTTGATTGTTGTAACGGTTTACGATATGAAAAATAGAAAATAAAAATTTAGATCTCTCTCTTTCTATGTTTGGTAACGAGGTGAAACACTGCTACGGCGTGTCCAATGTTCTTTTAACTGTACGTTTGAAAAGCTAATGAATGTAGCTTCTGCTCAACTTGGACGTAAACGTGACTTTTCACCGCGACATAGGCTTAGACTCTCAATGAAAGGCACTCATGCAAGCTGATTTTGTTACCTTGCAACAAAGAAAACATGGAGCTCAGTCTTTCTTCCACCGTTGTAAATAGGTTTCAAGGGTGAAGGAAAATGTAGATGATAGTTTGAATAGGTTCAAAACCAGATAGATAGGTGACTAAAGGCTTTTATCAAATGCAATGCTCTTATTTTAATGAAACATTATCACGATACCGTTAATCCTAACATTGCAATTTCACATAAGTGAACTATGTAATAGTCGGATGTCAATAACGCTTTATAGAATGAGACACTTAATGCAGAGGTTTGAGAATGAAACATTATCACGATACCGTTAATCCTAACATTGCAATTCCATACTGGTACGCAAACTAAATAAAGTTATTTACGGCCTAAATCAGGCTCCCGGGCAATGGTTTAAGAGACTAAAGGAGGCTCATGGCTAGCAAGTGTGACCCTTCATTATTAATAAAGGATACCATGATTCTACTAGGCTCATGGCTAGCAAGTGTGACCCTTCATTATTAATAAAGGATACCATGATTCTACTAGGCTCATGGCTAGCAAGTGTGACCCTTCATTATTAAATGTTTTTTCCCTAAATACACACGCAGTGTACATTCTAGTTTATGTGGATGACATTTTCATAACAGGCAGCTCTTCCTCCCACATTCAATAACTTATTACCAATTTCAACACTTTCTTCATACTCAAATACTTAGTGTACAATTGATTACTCTCCCTTTCATGTATAATGGTTGTGTCTCTTTGAATTGATTATGTCAGTAAACTAAAAATATATGTGTGCGGACAAGACTGATTTTATTGGGATTAAAAAATAATGGTTTTTTCAGGTGGCATTATATCCCTTCTTGTTTATCAAATTTATTTAACCAAAATATCCCTGCTTTGACAAATCTCTTCACACATTGCAACACTTGAAACATGCTAAGGTTTGAAACTTATCTGAACCATATTAACACCACAAGTTTACAGAACTATATATTATAAGAAAATCCATGAGAGTTCATTGGCTATATACGAATGTTAACAAGTTTCACATTGACTACAATATCTGATCTTGAATAAGATCATACACTAACAACATATAACAGAAAATGCATATTATAGCATGGAATTAAATTTCTAATTATCCTTCCTAAAAAATCATCTGAAAAGAAAAGAGAACAATTATGGAATCCGGAATATCATTTCCTGATCAAGAACTTTTCTGTGAAGAAGTTTGTTCAGAAGTAGTTTATTTTCTCTTCTTTGATCCGGAACCAGAACCAGGAGGGTGACATCTTCTTATCTTGGTTGGAGTTTCTGCAGAAACTGTTTCAGTTACAGGTCCCTCTTTTCTCTTCTTTGAATCCAATGGCAATGGCAACGGAAATGTTGAAGAATCATTGATTGATACATCACCAGCTACTTGTTTTCCTTTCTTGGAAGAAATTTCATTTTCCTCTTCCTCAAGATAGAAGAATAACGGATCCAATGGTATATCCAATGATATATTATCATTTTCTTCCTCACTTTCTTCCTCAAGAACCTCATCGGAACACATAAGCCATGCTACTAAGTCATCATCTTCAATTTTTGCGCCTCCCTCATTCTTTGCTATACCATCACGGCCGCCACCAGCATCTTTCTGATCAGTAGTGGAACTGATCATGGTTGGTGACTCCTTCTCCTCATTACCGGACTCTGGTGCTTGCTGCTCCGACACTGCATCCCTATTCGGTGGCTGAGTAGCATTCGCCATTAAAGAAACTCTTTCCACTATGTAAGGGAAAGTTGCAAGGAAGAACCTATGGAATATGGAGAGAGAGGGATGAATATACGTTTATAAGGAAGTGTAATTAACTAGTTATAACTGCTTCTAGTTAATCAACTGTCATAACAGAAAACTGCTAACAGTTTATAATCTATCTCCAAATTGTGTGTAAAGCGTTAAACTAAATAGTGAATGAATTACATGGGTACATAGACAAAACAGGAACTATGTTGCAATTATATTTGATAATCTATCTCTTTTTTCTCTGTCCCTTCGATCGGCTTTATTTTCAAGTCCCGTGTAGGAGATGGAACCCCTTATATTTTAACTTAAATCCCCTCCAATCCAACCCTTCCCTTTCCAACAAATGTCTTATTTGAGTCAATGAAGTCGCGTCATTTGGGGATATATGCTAACAACCATACATATTAACTCTCTTGAACATAACAATCTCATAGTAGACTCATAAAAGTATAACACTTGAGCTAAACAAATTCTAGATAAAATGTTCACATGTGAAAAGAAAATTTTCAGCTACCCAAACTTAACTAGTTCACTACCAGATTCCCCATGCACCCAATTAAAAGTATATGATAATAAAATCATGCTCCATGTATGCAAGATTTCACAAAATTGGGATATTAAATATACCTTCACAATAAACCGTTTGATGGCCACCTTCTTTGTTTTTCCAATACAATGAATACGCATAACAGCTTGTTCCTCAACTGCTGGATTCCACCATGGGTCCTGTTGATATTGACAAACTATCTATCTGTATCAAAATTCAAAAGTGCTTTAAAAAAGACATTTTATGAACAATAACAATAATAATAATATGCCATGTCCATTAGGTTGGTTATTCATAAACATATTCTGGAGCAACTCTCTGAATACTTAATACTCTTATATAAGATTCATGGGCTCCTGCCTAAAAATTGCATAGATTAAACTTCTTAATCTAAAATATATACTAAAACAACCAACTATTTGGAAGCCAGAAAAGTATAGTGGGTATAATAACCTAAGTTTGCATTATTGCGTTACATTAATTTATCTCCCGGCTTTAAATTAATCAAAGAGCCGTGTTTTGATTTCCATATTATTGAAACTTGGGTTCAATCAAGTGTCAATTGAAAGGATGTTCGAAAATCTCAAAAGAATCCTATTGAAAACAACATTAGGATCCATGCATTTTCTTTATTGAATATAGCATTAGCATAGAACAAGATAGAATATTAAGTAATTATTCTATTAATTGTTTTCAAGTCTATAAAAAGAGCTCATTGTGCAGTTGAAACATGTTTCACCTCATGTCCTTTTTTCTTCTCATTCAACAAATCCAAATACTTCATTTACCCTATGTTAGAAGACATGAAGCTAGACAAATACACACCAGTTTAAGCGAATAGAAACTGATATGCTGGTACCATGACAAAAGCATTGGAAGCTGCTGTTAGATTTATACCCACTCCACCAGCTTTTGTGCAAGAAATAACTACTAATGGTTTGAAACAGCTCGCCGTACTGACTAGGTAACAGACAAAATATGTATGTCACTGTTTTCTGAGAATTATTTGAATACTTTTTCCCGCTGCTGCAGATTCAATGTCCCATCAATGATAAAACAAAGATAATGATCAATGAACCTCAGGTACCATTGTTCATCACCAAGATGAAGCATGCCACAAGATCACAACAAGAATGATTAAAACACAATGTAAAAAAACCATGACTGTCTATAGGAACAGCTCTTTTCCAGATTTCACATTCACTCAATTCTCCCATGTTATTCTTATAAAACAATTAAACCTGCAAGAGGTCTAGAAAAGCAGTCCACTGCCTGAAAACAATGCTCTTAGATCCTGAGGAGCGGAGATTTTCAAGTTCATTCAAAAGACCGGTTACCTTGCATGACTCTACCCAGTTCTTCTCGATATCAACCTGAAATCGACTCTGTAGGGGTGGTGATAAGATCCTTCTTGCTCACCGTTTTCCTGTTAAGCACAGGGTGTCAACACTGCATCTTCAAATGCTTCAAGACATATTGGACACTCTCCCTGCTCCCCTTTACGCAGCTCCTCCACAACTTCTTGAACATAAGCTCGTGAGAGCGAATCTTTTTCTTCACCTTCTCAAGCATTACGAGTTCCTTTAAGGAAGCGCTTAGCTAGTTTCTTGAGTATCACCTCGACTAAAAAATCAATGGCCATCATGACAAAAGGTTAAGGCTTAGTAAGACAACAATTAAATTATGCAAGGGAAAAACAAAACATCACCACAAGAGGGCTTTCAAATCATAATGTGTTCAAAAGTTCCCAAAAAAACATCAAAAGAGAAACATCGTCAAGCATAGCTAAGAAAACCATCCTATGCAATGATAAACTCATTCCTAAATAGTATCTAATGCATTCAAACACCTACTCCAAAATTTGCCCTCTCCTGTTTTTTCAAGATTTCCTCTCACATAGGTGGTTACAAACCCTTGCCTAAAGAAAAGGAAATTTTTCAAATGATGGTTAAGTATCCTTCGATTGGCATATGCAAAAGATCCTTCGATTGTCATCTGCAAAAGGTCCTTCGATTGGCATATGCAAAAGGTCCTTCGATTGGCATCTGCAAAAGGTCTTTCGATTGGTATAGGACCTTTCGATGGGCATTTCCAACAAGGCAGCTTCGACGGGCATCTTAAATGAGGTTATTTTTTTGTTAGAGCGTACAAAGTGCCTTTCGACAGACATGTTAACCAAGTGATGTTTCGATTGGCATTTCAACAGGGCGATATTCTGATTGTCCAAGTTAGAGAAAATGAGATCAAAAAGAGCAAGAACTGAGAGGGTTCCAGAAGCTCTGATGATGGGCATTCGAATACATGCAGATTGGAGAGGATAACTCTGAGCCTTTCTGCAGACTATGGTTCAAACGTAGAAGCTCTGATGCTGAGAATATGAGCAATTCGAATCAACATGCAAAGCCATCGAAGAAAGCAATCGAAGGAACCATGACGAAAGCCTTAAGCCAAATTCAAGCGAAACATCTATCCTAACCTGTCCAGGTTCACCCAAAGTTCAAAATGGCATGTTTTCCTTTCAAATATGGCAAGAATTCAATGTTGATCGTGGATTCAATTCCTGAGTTAAAGGCCATATTCTTGCCTTGTTTGTTCCCAACTCCACAAGAGCTTATTCGACCAGGGTGATTCTCTTCAAATCAAGTAATCGAAGCAGAGGGTGGCTCAATCGAAGCAGCCATGACATCAAAGTTGGTGCAATTCGAATTAGAGTCCAGAGCCTTCGAAGAGAACAAATTCGAAGGAAAATGGATCTGCAGGGGCATGTCAACTTTCGATTTCCATCATATTGGAGGCCCAAACTGTAACACCCTAATTCTACCCGACAATTATATAAATAAATCAGAGTTATAAAATCAATAATGCAAACGAATCAGGATGCCACAAATTCATCTTTCAAAACACATTGCATTCATCGTGGATACGTAACACTTTAAAACTTTGGATGAACCGTCATCAAAATACTTTAATCTCTTAATTCTACAATTTAAACATCTACGCAGCGGAATTCTTAATAACATCTTTATCATCATTACAGCAACTTTAAAACAACACATATTTAATAATAATCAACTTAAAGTTCAACGACGGAATAATCAATAATCAAAAGCAACAAGCGTTCATCCCCCCGAGTGTTACATATCAGAGCAATGACACCGACTCGAACTACTGAAGGTATACAGTCTTCACTCTCGATTACACGCACGTTACCAACATAAGGGTAACATTCAAACAAAAGGGGTGAGATATCTAACAATATAATAAAACGTATGATAATTAATATATTAAATTAGATCACATAACATCACCACTTCTCATCTCATAATCAACAATAATCACAACAAATAATACACATTCACAACATCAATACACACTTCTTTATGCAATCATATAATGCGACTCAATACTATGCACATGCATGTGGTACCATTGGAGCATAACTCTCATCTCAAAAATTACCAATTAATAGAGGCATCAACAAGGCATAAGCCTTCATCTCAATATTCGCCAATACAAGTCATCTCAACGAGCATAAGCTCCATCTCAAAATACAATGTATGTGACACAATCATGAATGGAATAACAACACCATAATTGACAACATCTCAATACAATACCATCGTTGGCCAAAAGCCTACATCTTAAAAGCATCTCAACATCTCTTCATCAACATCATTCATCAACATCATTCATCGATATCATTTATCATTATAAATCATCAAACGTAATTTATACATCATAAATCATCAAAACAAACTCTCATTAACATCATCTCATCAACAACTCAATCGTACAGTAATACGACGGTAACTCATAAATTTCACAACGCTGGCCATATGCCTATACACGATATTACCTATAATTAGTCAATAAACTAAGGCTTACTTCTAAATCAACAAATCTCTACATACTATTATTCTGTACGATTACATCATTGTTATTATTAATCATACTGTTACAAATCAAACAGCAGCCTATAAGCATCTCATCTTCATCATTCTGCATAAAAACCAACATAGCGATCTACACGGAAACTAATTCAAATCTTATGGTTATCCTTCATATTCCTCATTTTAATCAATAAGGATGAAACTCATTGCATTAGCTATTCAACGTTTCGAACGACTCCTCAAACGGAGTCCGAAAACTCAAGTTACAGCATTCTCAAACGGATTCTGCCAAAAACCAGACAACATGGATCGACGCATAACGTCTTAGATCGACACGTACTACACTGAACTCGCAACATGAGTCGGCGCATCCTCTCTTGTATTGACTCATCCTGAGTCTAAAAGTCCTCATGTATCGACGCAAGACTCCTTCGTGT